GAGTACCCAGTGTTTCATGCAGCTCTTCATTCCTTATTAGTCAGGATGCCAATATGGTTTGTATATTGGTGTTTAATAAAGAGTTGTTTTGAGAGTACTTAATTTCAAGCATCAGCAACAAAGTGAAGCCAAGTCTTGGTGAAAATGTTGAGAACTGGTATAGCCTTTGTTTCTAGTGTATGAAAAGACTGAAGGCCAAGTTCTACAAGACAGTCAGTGTAGTTCTTGTGTTCCCATTTGTTCTGAGTCTGTGGCAGTTGTCTGGCTATCTCAGTGCACAGTCCTCTGCAGTGTAGGGATCTGCTTTAATCCTTAGACTGTGCTCAACAACCAATATGGTATTCACTTATATATATGCTATATATATATTTATATATGCTATGACAGAAAAAATTGAGTGTAAAGTTTGAAAAACAAAGCCCACTTCTCACTACTGTTGAATTGCCAAAGAATAAAATAAATAGTTCCATGCTAAATTTCAGAGTGCTTAAAAAGGACAAGGCAAATAGATACATTTCAGAAAAAATACAAGATGCAATGCAAGTTATGTGGATACCTTGGTTTGATTTGTCATCCAGACATAGAGCCTGTCATTCATTTATATATTGCATAAATATTCACTGAGTTTCTAATCTCTGGACCAGGCCTTTCAGTGAGTAGACAGAGGCACTTAATCTCACTAATTTTTTAAATATTAAATTTTATTTTATTGTAAAGATGCTGTACAGAGGGGTTTCAGTTGCATTTGTAAGGTAATGAGTACATTTCTTGTCGAGCATTGTTACCTCCTTTGTTTATCTCCTACTGTCCGTTCCTTCCCCACTTCCCTCACTCACTCTTTTTTTGTTGGTCATGGGGCTTGAACTCTGGGCCCGGGCACTGTCTCTCAGCTCTTAAGCTCAAGGCTAGTGCTCTACCACTTGAGCCACTGCGCCACTTCCTACCCCTCACTTCTTGAACAAATAATGTAAGACATTTTAACCCACAGCAGTCTCTTCTTGCCTGCCTGCCTGCCTTTCTCCCTTCCTTTCTCCCTTCCTCCCTCCCTCCCTTCCTCTCTTTCTTGTTTCCTCTTTCTCTCCTTCCATCCATTCATGTTTAGCCAGTTATTGTCTTCATTGTCTTCATTCTTAAAGACTTCATAAGCTTATTTGTTCATTATTCATTCAAATGTGCATTACATCAAGAAATGTACCATGTTGGTTCAGGTACAATATAAAAATAAAGAGGAAAACACAGATAGTCCCAGTTTGGAGAGCCAAACAGATTGTACAGTATGGTCAGTAATAGCAGTGAGCTCCTGTGCTGTGTTGGGGGAGACCAGACGATGAGCACAGGAGTGGAGGCTTCTAAATTAGCTGTGTAGGGAGAGGACGAAATCAAGATGTGACATTGTTTACGGTGCTTGGGATAGAACTCAGGGCCTCAGAGGTGAGGCAAGCTCTGCACCACTGAACTATCTCCCAACCCATGATATGATTGTTGATCTGGCCTTTTAGTGGGAGCTGGAGGGAAGGGATAGTTCCAGTTAGAGGAAACTGTTAAGTTACTATAAGGAGCTAAAGGTACCTTTTACAAAATTGCAGTGTTTGCTTTTGAATTGGCTGTAAGAAGTGAGTTCTAAAGTGATGAACCAAGTGAAACAGGAATGCCAAGAAGTATTTATAGTGTTGTACAAATAGTGTGTAGTGAACAAGATAGCCCACACATACTATTCCATCAGTTTTAAGTAGTAAATACAAAATTGATAAGCAATTTAGAATTTAATAGTCTTCCCCCATTTATGCTTAGTTAGGATTTAGTGGTTAGCAGATTATAAATCAAGAGAATTAGGATGTTCTGTGAGATCAACACTGACATGAGATCAATACAATGTAAGATCAATATTAATGTGTCAGATGATATGGATAGAAAGTGTATGAGTCCCCATTTCAATGAAAAGCTATCCTACCTACCAGGAAGCCTAGCCCTGGTTGGTCACATATAAGGCGAGCTCAGACAGGAAATAGGACTCTTATCTCAAAAAAAACAAGAAAAACCAAGTTTGGAGGTATGGTTCAAAGAGTACTTGCTTGGCAAGCATCTAGCCCTGAGTTCAACCTCAGTACTGCTTAAAGAAACCTCCAAGTATTCTATTATCTACTATGCTAACTTGTCTTGTGTTGATTTGTGAACTAGGCCACTTCGATGCGCTTCATAATCATACTTATGTCACCTACATTTGGTTTAATTCTCTACTGCCTTTGTCTGAAAGTCTGAATTTGTGAATGTGGAGCCCCCATTTTCTTTTTGTGCTGGGTCCTACCAAATTATGTAGCAGCCCTGCCTATTCAGTTAGTGGAGACAGGAAGCTAAGGAGAAGTAGATGTCCTTGTGCCCTCTGGAGAGTAGCAGCCAACCAATTAAAGCATCCCAGCGCATTAGCAGGGCCATCTGTAGTCTGTGTGTGTGGATACCTCAGGCTGGCCAGCCTAATGTCATGTGACATTCCATTTATTTGACAGACTCTGTAGCTTCCCAGATCCTGTTCTCCAAACAGCCTTTTAATTGTGATTTGGCTCTTCTGTGGTCTTCCTACAGGGAGAGAACTGGCTGGTCATGCTGACTCCATGCTGCTTCAAGAAGTTAGCTACTAATGTGACATTCTGGTTAGCTATCTCAGTGAGGATCTTTAATGGGGGGTTCCCATGACAGGTCTGCTTCTGCTGGATTTCTGATGCTCAAGGCTGAAGTCCAGGCATTGTGTTGATAAATTCATCAAGCATGCAAGTGAATAACAGTGATTGAGAGGAAGGACTTTGGAGGCAAGACAGTCCTAAGTTTGCATATCAGTCTGTTCCTTATCAAGATGTACAATCCTCCCTCCCCCACAGTGTAACCCCCGCTTTCACTATATTTGATGTCAGTATAACATGTGGAGGAGATGGGGACAAACAAGTCGTTTAAGGATTCAGGTGGACCTGTTGCAACAATGAGAAGTACAAAATGTCATGTCAAAACCAGCTTTACAATGTCGGGGGGGGGGGGGGGGGGGAGGGGGGAGGCTGGGAAGGGAGGTGAAGGGTAAACAAAGGAGGAGGCTGCAATGCTTGGTAAGAAATGTATGCATTATCCTGACCATGTAATTGTAACCCCTCTGTACAGTATGTTCTCAAATAAAATAAAATTAAATTAAAAAAAAATTTTTTTTGTTACTGTATCTCATAACTTAAAATATGGTCTTCAAAACTTACTGTTCAGGGTGAGGGGAGGAGCCTGGGAAAGAAGGGAAAGTAGGAAAAATACAAAGGAGGGGGTAACAATGTTCGACAAGAAATGTACTCATTACCTTACTCATGTAACTGTAACCCTGTACAGCATCTTTACAAGAAAATAAATTTTTTTTTCTTTTTTTTCTTTTTTTTTTTTTTTAAATTTTATTTTATTTTATTTGAGAACATACTGTACAGAGGGGTTACAATTACATAGTCAGGATAATGCATACATTTCTTACCAAGCATTGCAGCCTCCTCCTTTGTTTACCCTTCACCTCCCTTCCCAGCCTCCCCCCTCCCCCCCAAGAAAATAAAATTTAAAGAAAAAAAAAAAAGATGTACAATCCTGACCTTTCTGTGCCTAGTCCTTCATCTTTTAAATGGGGTTGAATAAAGTAATATAAAAGATTGACATTTGGGACCAGATAATGCTTTGTTTAGTACAGGGATGCCTGAGGATTATACTGTTTATTAAAGGATGCTTAGCAGCATCCCTAACCTGAACCCCATGGAAGCCAGTAGCTGCTCCCCTAGCCCCAGTAAAAACAATCAGTGTTTCCAGACATTGTCAGAGCTCTGCTGTGGAGGATGAAGTGGAGGATGAAGTAGGTCCTGGTTAAGAACAGTGGGTACAGGTGAATAAAGAAGAAGGCAGATGTAGGTTTTGTGTTAGCTCTGGTACTAATGGTGAGGATAGTTACCATCCTGAGACTCCCATAAGTCATTCATCAGCCTTGCAACCATCCAGTTCTTTCCATTTTTATGCATAAATAAGTCTCTTATGGACACAGACTAAAAGTAAAAAAAAAAAAAAAAATCATACCTTCAAAAAAACAGGAAAGAGCCAGGCACTGGTGTCTCACGCCTGTAATCCTAGTTACTCAGGAGGCTGAGATCTGAGGATCCTGGTTCAAAGCCAGCCAGGGCTGGAAAGTCTGTGAGACTCTTATCTCCAATTATCTACCAGAAAACGGGAAGTATGGCTCAAGTGGTAGAGTGCTGGCCTTGAGCTGAAGAGCACAGGGACAGGGCCCCACAACTGACTCAAAAAAAAACAAAAAACTGAGAAAAGAAACAATTCTTGGGATTAGCAAGTGAGAAAATGGTGTCTGAGCTCACAGTAGTGACAGTAATGTGATTATTAATGTTGAGTAAACTGCATTGGAGCATTTCTTTCTTCAGTTCCTACCACTTGCAGTAAGCATAAGCAAACAGTAAAAAGCTTTGTAATAATTACTAAAAAGCAAATTGGATGAAAGGATGATGAATATTCCAACAGATAGTGTTAATTAAAAATTGATCAAAGTAAAAACAGAAACCAAAAACTTCACAGATAGGAACAAAAGAAAAAATATAATCAGTCTATAAACATGACCGTGGTTCAATTTTAATAAATTTTAAATCTTTGAATCTTTTCTTTTTAAATTGGTAAAGATTTTAAGCAATGCCATCCAACTCTTGGGTGTTATAGAAGCTTCTTTACACATTGGTTATGGGACAGTGGAGGCAAACACAAAGATGCATTACATTGAGCAGGAGAAAGCAAAATGCAATTGTCAGTGTCTTAAAATACCCTTTATATTCTCAGACGTTACTATATGAATGAGTTTTGGGGAGTAAATTGCTTTCTCTGGAATTTTAGGTTTTATACACTTTGACCCTCTTTCTGTTCATTAGTTTTTAAGGATATGTTCATTATAGTGTTTTATGAGTGAATGTTTACAGTGTCCATTTTTATATTTATAGTATGCGCAGAAGCTTATAATCCTGATGAAGAAGAAGATGATGCAGAGTCCAGGGTATGTAATTTACTGAAGAATCAATACTCTTGTGCTTTGTGAAGGAAATAATCACAGAGAAGATGTTAACAGGCATACAGGTTCACAGCAGAAACAGTGGAATTATTTTATCTATATCTTTTCATAAATTTTATCTCAGTCTGCTTGTACTTCAAGTTCTGTAGAACCATTTTTATCTAAGAAGCATCTCTGAATAAAAAGAAACAGGAGCATAGTGCTCACTGCAATTGCAGTTTTCTTTTTTTGCAGAGTATATTCTCGGACTCAAGAGTGTTTTCAGCTATCTTTTTTTATAGTTACAGTGTTATTTTTCTTACACAGTGTTATTTTTATTACATAGTAAAAAAATTTCTGGGAAAGACCCTCTGCTCCTATTAATGGATAACAACAGAAACTTACTCTGAAACAAACCTGACGATAAAATTATATCTGAAGAGTTAGCACAACAGTTAAGACTTTTTAAGTCTGTGTGTTTTGATATTTTCCACATTCACTGATTTCTTGGAAGCCCAGACTTTTACAAGAATTTGTCTAATATGATTTGATTTTGTTTTTAAGTTGTGTCTTTCAGGTTAGTTCTACTTTTATTTATTTAGTAAAAAGTAAACTGTGTCTGCAAACAGAAGATAGTAATGCAATTTTTTTTTAGTATATACTTTGTGAATGTCTTCTTTGTTTCTTTGACCTTAAAACAGAACCCAGGCTTGGAGACTTCAAGCCTGTAATACTAGTTACTTGGGAGGCAGAGATTAGGGATTGTAGTTCAAGGCCAACTCTGGCATAAACATTCAAGAGAGTCCATCTTGACCAAAGCTTGATGCTAGGCTGAAACAAAATGGCTTGGAGCAGTGGAACATTCCTGTCATCCCAATGACAAAGGGGAGCGCAAATAGGTTTTCAGCACAAGCTGGCCCAGGCATAAAGTGAGACCCAATTTTTTAATATAACCAATGCAAAAATGGGCTGGCTGAGCAGCTTAAGTGGTAGAACACCTGCTTAGTTAGTAAGGTGTTTAAACTCAGGCCCTGAGTTTACACCCCAGAGCCATCACACACACACACACACACACACACACACACACACACACACACACACACACACACAGCATAAACAAAAACCTCTGTATGTAGCTCTCATACACCCCAGAGCCATCACACACACACACACACACACACACACACACACACACACACACACACACACACAGCATAAACAAAAACCTCTGTATGTAGCTCTCAAAAAACACTTCAGTGAGATTGAATGTTAATAAAGAAAAGCATATAGCAGGTACATCATTCCATCATGAGACTTCCTGAGATAGGAGAATCTAATGGTAGGAAGATTGGGTGCCTTATAACTTGGATCTTTAAGGCTCATTTTGTCCCTGTGCCCATAGGAGTTCCCAACCCCAGGAATCATTTCTTATCAGTACAACTTAAATTATTTTGATGAAGCCCACAAATCCCAGCCTGGAAATAGTGTTGCTTTAAAAATCAAGAGATTTATCACTAATCTGTGATGTACTGTAAAGCCCCTTATGCAGTCTTAAACTCGACTTTTAGTATCATACACTTTATGCATCTGTCTGAAACATTCAAAGATTCCATACATTGATACAATCTCATAATTGAGATAAGTTTGATCAGGTAGTTCAAATTAGTTTCTAAAAAAATCTAACTTGTCCAGGCACCTGTGCTCACACCTATTATACTAGCTACTCAGGAGGATGAGATCTGAGGATTATGTATTGAAGCTAGCCCCAGTAGGAAAGACCGTGAGTCTCTTATCTCCAATTAGCCAGCAAAAAACTGGAAGTAAAAATGTGGTTCACATGGTTGAGTGCCAGTCTTGAGTAAAAAAGCTCAGGGATAGTGCCCAGGCCCTGAGTTCAAGCACCAGAACCGACATACAAAAACAAATGAATAATAAAGTAAGAGCACTTCACAGTACAGTTTGAATACAATATGCAGAGGGAGTTTAGCTACTGTTGAATGTATGAGAGTGAAGTGTTGGCTTATTCAAACTAATTGCTCACAGTTAAGGAGGTTATCCCAATTAAGATTCACTTGAGTGCATAGTAGAACCCAATCAAATGGAGATTAAACATAAGAAAGAAAATACTGGGGAGAGTTTATTGGGCAGATGCTTAGAGAACCAATTTGGAAAAGGTGAAGCTGTGGCAAGCAGGCACCTCTGCAGTCCTTCAGCTTCAGCAGCAGGAGTTCAGGACTTGAATGTTGTCTTTGGACAGCCCCTGGCTTCCATTCTCTCTATTGCTGTGTCTCTCAGTTCAAAATTCAGTTTTCCCAAGAGTTGCGGATAAACCCAGTGGTGATGAGAATTGAGCCATGGTTGGCAAATGAATGTGGCTACTCAAGAACACTAATAAACAAGGGGGTAGGCAGGCCTACAGGAGGATGTGGTTATGTGGTTGGGCATTTACTTAAAGACTGCCCACCCATACCTCTTTAAAGCTTTTTTTTTGTAATTCATATATTAATTGGATGGTTATGATTATAATAAAGTGCTCTAGTTTCTCATTTAGGTTGAATGTTCTTTTCTTTAGACATTAATAAAGACTATATATATTTTTTGTCTTAGAAACTAGAAGGCAATCTAAATTATAGCCCTTAGGATTTATTCAGTCTAGGCAGATAATTGGAAACTGTGAGGAAAATCTGTATTGTGTTTTGTAGATGACATAGCATTTAGATATTCAATATTATTTCTGGGATAATTACCAGATCCTCACATGTCTAGTATACATGGGTATTTATTTTCTGATATAAATTCAAAGAAAATATAACTACTTATGAGTCATTGTGGAAAACAGTAAGTTTTAGTTGGAATACTTTTAATAAGAATTTAAGGGTTGTATGTATCTAGCTTGCATAACCTGGGAGTGTTTAAGAGTGGGGTATGTATTATTTTCCACAGAATTTCTTTGGAAGCCTTCTGCATATCTGGCCAGTTGTACAGATGTGAGCAAGATGAACAAGTCCTAGGAGCTTAGAGTCTAGAGCAGTTATAAACAAAGTAAATCAATGGGCAATTAAAAATAGGAAATGCTAAAGATGCAGTGAAACAGGGTAAGAATTAAAATCCTAAACCACTGGAGCCCTGATTCTTCAGAGTAGTTCAAGGCCAGAAGGTCTGAGGAATCTTGCCAGCCTGCACAGTGTTTTTGGCTTGATCTGACCAATAGTGTGATGGCAGGAGTGGCTGGATTTGAATGGCTAAGTGCGGGTGGGAAAGGAAGAAATGGTGGGGATATATATGTGTGTATACATATATGCATATATACACATATGTATATATACACATACATATATATACACATATATATGTATACACATATATACATATATATACACATACACACACATATATATATATACATATATATGTGTATATGTGTATGTGTATATATACACACACACACACTCACATTTTATTGTAAAGGTGATGTGCAGAGGAGTTATAGTTACATAAGTAATAAGGTAATGAGTACATTTTTTTTCCAACAGTGTTACCCTGTCCCTTATTTTCTCCCACTTTCTCTCCTCCCCAACTCGCCTCCTCTCTTAAGTTGTAAAGTTCATTTCCAACATAATGTCTAGTGAGTCTGATCTGTTGCATTTTCACCCTTTCGTCACATGATTTCTGTGATTCCTCTTCCCTTCCCCAAATCAGATAACTTATTATATACAAAACAAAGGGCACCTACAGACATGATAGAGTCCATTGCATTTTGAAGCTGGAGAAGGGGGTGTTTGTTTTGTTTTTGTTTTTACAGTATTGAGGATGGACCTCAAGGCCTTGTACAATGCCCCCAGTCCTTTTGCTTTACTATGTTTTTCTTTTGCTTTACTATGTTTTTCTTGTAGAGTCTTACAGTTTTGCCTGGGGCCAGTCTGGGACTTAAGTTGATTATCCTACCTCCTCCTCCTCCTAGTAGCTGGGATTATAGGACTGTACCTTGTCTGACAGACTGGGGTGTTCTTTTTTTTTTTTTTTTTTTTTTATCATTATTATCTCTACTTTTTTTTTTTTGTGAAAATACCATAAGAGGGGTTACAATTACATGAGCAAGGTAATGAGTACATTTCTTATCAAGCATTGTTGCCTCCTCCTGTTTCCCCTTCCCATCCCCCCCCTCCACCAAAGTTGTAAAGTTTGTTTTTCGACATAATGACTTGTACATCTCATTGTTGCAATGGGTCCACCTGTATCCCTAGTTAAACAATTTGTTTTTTCCCTTCCCCTCCACAAATTATACCAAAAACAAATACAATGAAGGCAGGGGTTATACTGTGGGGGAGGGACATACAAAGCAACAAAGAAATCATCTTATAAATATGTTAGAAACAATTGCAAGAAAGAAAAAACATAAAAATATGGAACGCTTCACGAATTTGCATGTCATCCTTGAGCAGGGGCCATGCTAATCTTCTCTGTATTGTTCCAATTTTAGTATATGTGTTACCAAAGCAGATACTGGTTAAATCTTTTAAAAGATTGCTTTCAGGAGATGGGAAGGAGAAACAAAGGAGAGGCAACAATGCTTGATAAGAATGCTTGCCCCTGTAATTGTAACCCCTCTGTACGGTAATTTTACAATAAAAAATTTAAAAAAGAGAGATTACTTTCAACTCTATGAAGAATGGGTTGGACAATGTGAAAATAATCTTGTACAAATTTGTGTCACAAGATAACTCAGTCTTCTTCAAAGAACTGTATAAGTAAACTATATTAATTGTTTTTCTAATTCTCTTTCTTCAGGGGAGCCGGAGTTGCCAAACTTCGGTTGTGATTTTCTTTTAACTAAAATTCACTATTTTCAAAAAGTCAGTATTTTAGGTTTTGGGATTACAAAGTCTCTTACAGTTACTCAGCTCTGCTATTGTAGCTTAAAATTGGTCACAAAGCAAATAAATAAAATAACATGCCAGTGCTCCATTAAACTTTATTTGTAAGCTGAGCCCTGGTGGCTCACACATGTAATCCTGGCTACACAGGAGGTTGAGATCTGAGGATTTCGGTTCAAAGCCAGTCCATGAGACTCTTACCTCCATTAGCTGTCACAAAACCAGATATTGAGCTATGGCTTAAAGTGATAGAGCACTAGCCTTGACAGAAAAGCTTAGGAACAGCACCAGGCCCTGAGTTCAAGTTTTATTACTAACTTAAAAACAGCAACAAAACAAAGCACAGCTTTATTTGTAGATATCTTTAGCCTTCTCTTAGGCCAGAAAGACTCAAGAGTTTACAAGACACTCTTACAGAGGACATTCTGCAGTCTTCATCCTTCTGGAATAAAAGTTTGGTGAGACTATAGAATATTAGTTTCTGAGTTTACTCTAAAATGAGCAATTTATACCAGGCATGATAGCCCTTGCTTATAACTCCAGCACTCAAGGGATGGAGGCTGGAGGATTGAAGGCTGGCCTTCAGTCATATAGGGCTACATAACAAGACCCTGTGTGTGTGTGTGTGTGTGTGTGTGTGTGTGTGTGTGTGTGTGTGTGTGAGAGAGAGAGAGAGAGAGAGAGAGAATCCATGAACATCACTATCTTTCAGGATATACAGTTGCTCGCTGTCGTCTGGAAATTCCTTACACTCTGTGGGTACAATTATCTCCAATTCACACAAACATTTATTTAATATTAAGTAGAATATGCATTTAAGAATTTACTTGTTTCTAGAAAGTTAATTGAGTTTCAAAGGAAAGACCTACATCTTGAAGACTGTTGAATTTAGGAGAAAACGAATGAAGGCCATCTCTATAAATTTTCTGTGTGGCTGTTGTAATATATTGTCCTTTTGTACTTGTCCCTACTGGCTGTGAACTTTTCAGTCTCTTTAGCCAATCTTACATAATTTCATAATGAACTAGGGTGGGAGAGCTGTACTTAAACAGTGTGTGCCAGTGGCTTACACCTAGCTACTCAGGAGGCTGAGATTTGAGGTTCACAGTTTGAAGCTAGCCTGGGCAGGAAAGCTGGTGAGACTCCTATCTCCAGTTAATTAGAAAAAAAAGCTACAGTGGAGCTGTAGCCTAAGTAGTAAATCACCAGCCTAGAGTAAAAAAAAGCCAAGGTATTGGCTGGGAAGGTGGCACAGTGGTAGAGTGCTTGCCTTGCATGCATGAGGCCCCGGGTTTGATTCCTCAGCACCACATAAGCAGAAAAAGCCAGAAGTGGCGCTGTGGCTCAAGTAGTAGAGCTCTAGCCTTGAGCTGAAGAGCTGAGGGACAGCACCCAGAGTTCAGGCCCCAAGACTGACAAAAAAAAAAAAAAAAACACCCAAAAGCTAAGGTACAGTTTCTAGGCCCTGAGTTTATGTCACAGTACCAGGACAAAACAAAAACAAACACTCCCGGCCCCTACTTTCCAGTGCCGTGTTGATAAATGCAGCCAATCCAGTTCTATGTGATGTATGTTGGTCGTTGCAGACAATCCAGTGCTGTGTTGAGGGATGTGTACTGTCTCCTGACAAGCTGTATTACTTTCCCTATTGAGTAGGCTCATTGTCCTGTCACCTGAAGTGAATCTCAGGTGAATCTAAATGAACAAGAGCACTAACAGTTCTTTCTAGCATACCTGTTGCTTCTTAAACAATTTTGATTGGTATTAACTCCTTTTTTTCCCATGATTTTGTATCATTTTAGATTATACATCCCAAAACTGATGATCAAAGAAATAGATTGCAAGAGGCTTGCAAAGACATCTTGCTGTTTAAGAACCTGGATCCGGTAAGATAAATCTTGATAAGAGAAATTGTTTCTTCAGTACCAGGGTCAGGAGTCATGAAATGGTTTGAATTGATCCTCTTCCCAAGTTAATATCACTCTGGGATGGTTGCAGTGGCCTCAAGGTGGATGCCTGCTCATCTGTGTTGGCGCTGCAGGAGCAAAAGTGAGAGGGGTTCACACTGTGAAAGTCTGGAACCAAGAAAGCCTTTCTGGCTGTCTTGAATTAAGGTTACTTGCTCCACACATAGTCCTGATAAGACTGGCTAAGGAAAGGTTCAGAGCTTGCATTCTTCATACACTCCATAGACAAGTGCAGGAGCATTTATGGTATGTGGAGAAGGGCCTCTCTCAACAGAGAGACTGTATATTTGAGTGTGTAAAACCTCTATATTATACATACTTTTAAAGTAGAGAGTTTTGAAATCTCTTGCACTTGGTTAGGGTCTTTCTAGGGTGCTCTCAGTGAATAAGCTTGCTCTTCCAATTTGCAAAATCAACTCTGTTCTTTTTTTCCCCCCAAACTTCACATCATCTACCTTTCAGTTTGATGCCTTAGAGAAAAAAAGCATTAATTCAGTATCTACTTTTTTCTTTTACTTTTTTTGGTAGGAGGGCTTCTTAAAAAGGCAAGTTTTGAAAGATTAAAGGAAATGTTCGCCTAGCAAGTATGAAGCATTGAGATTAAAGGAAATGTTTGCCTAGCAAGTATGAAGCACTGAGACTCAACGTCAGCTGTGCTCTCAGAAACCACCAAAAACAAACACAAACACAAACCACCTAAAACAATACCATCCTCCATCCAGCTCAAGTCTGGTTAAGAGTTTTGGTGAACTCTAAGACATAATTAACCCTGTCACGGAGTGAGAGTTCAACTGTTCAGAGTGGCCCTGGCACTTTGGTCTTTGTCTGCCCAAGTGTATTCATTCAGTCCATTTATCCTGCATTTACTGAGTTCCATCACTGAACCAACAATGCTGGTGAATGTGAAGGAAACAAAGACCCAGTTCAGTGCTCTGAGTTCCGGTAGATGACATGTTCTCTAAGGCAAAGGCCATGTAAATATTTAATTCTTTTGTTCCAAATGCATGTTCTAAAATTTATCGAGTCTTCTACTTACAGGAAGGCTATTTTTTGACTAGGATTTTACATGGGAGAATTCCAGAAGTCACTAAAAAATTAAGGTAGCTTTCAGGTTTTACTTACCAGGGGATATTTGATGCAGATTCTGGCTTAGAAGGTCTGAGCGGAGTCTGGAAACTTGTGTTTCCTACACGTTCTCAGGTAATGTTGATGCTCCTAGCCTACAGCGTACTTCGATTACTAAGGACTAGAGCTAGGTGTGAAATGTTCAAGTTCAATATTTTGGTATTGCCATATGTCATTCTGTTTGCTACTTTTCTGTTCATTGAACTGGTATTTTCATGCTTCAGCAGTGACTAAGCAGTGATATTCTGGTTGTTTGTGTACACTAACTGTACAGAAACAGTCACTAATGATACTTTCCTGAGATCCTGCCTATTCTACTCTATCCTATAAAGTAAAATTGATTTTCCTTGTTATTTCGACTTTAACTTTTTTTAAAGTTAATTACTTTTTTCAGTTAATTGAACTCAGGGCCTCATACATGCGAGGCAGGCAACTCTACCACTTGCACTACATCACAGCACCTTTTTTCATGGGTGGTTTTCAGGGTAGGGCCAAGCTTCATACCTAGGCTAGCCTGAGCTACAGTCCTTCTACTTGTGTTTCTCCGAGTCCAGGATGACAAATGTGTGTCAGTACACACAGCCATTGTGTTTCCCTCCTAGCTGGGATAATAGATGTGTGCCACTACTCACAGCCATTGGTTGAGATATGGAGTCTTATGTACCTTTATTCTGGGCTGGCCTCAAGCTGCAGTTCCTTGATCTCTCTAAGCACTGTGAAATTATGACTGTGTTTCAAACTATTTTTTAAGAACATCTTTTTGTTAGTATAGTTTGGTAAGGAGCATCTTTACTGCATTAAAGTGCTTTACTTAAAGTGCATTACTGCATTTTTTTTACAAATATGATTTCTTTTAGACTTTTTTCACTGCTCTGTTCAAAATCTTCAAAGTATATTTTAAAAGCAAGGTCATATAGAGGACAAAAAAGGCCCCAGCTGGGTGCTGGGCATTCATGCCTATAATCCTAGTTATTCAGGAGGCTGAGATCTGAAGTTTGTGATTCAAAGCCAGCTCAGGCAAGAAAGCCCGTGAGACTCTTATCTCCAATTAACTACCAAAAGATGGAAGTGGAACTGTGGCTTTAGTTATAGAGCACTAGACTTGAGCAAAAAATGTTCAGTACGCAGTCCCTAAGTTCAAGCACCAGGACTAGCATACACACAGACACAGACACACACACACACACACACACACATAAATGTGTATTTTATAGAGAATGTTGTTTTATAGAGAAGCCACACAAATATAGTTAGGTATTTCTAAAGTGATAATTTTGTTTTTCTTTTTGTTATGAAATAGGCTTTTGCTATATAGGCTCAGACCAGCTCAAACTTGTGGTTCTCCTGTTTCAGCCTTCCAAGTGTTGAGATTATAGGTGTGTGCTATTATATTCAATGAAGATTAATTTTTGAATTTGAGATCAAACTAGCTTGATTTATTTATTTCCCTCTTCTCAAATTTATTACTTTGAATGAGAAATTTAGCCTAAAAATGTAAGATTGAATATTTTATAATAAGCATATATTTCCAGCAACCTTCTAGTGTGTGTGTGTGTGTGTGTTTGTGTGTGTGTGTGTGTAAACTCAAATGTATTTTAATTGAAGTATATATTCAACTCATACGATCTGTCGATCCTGTAACTTCTTTCCATTCAATTTCTTTACTGCCCCTAGTTTCAAAGCTTCTATAAGGTGTTTGGTGCCATCAAGGAGGTTAGATGTGACTCTTGCCCTTCTGGGACCTATACTTGGGTGAGACCCAAGCACACAGACAAAAGAATGTTGGTAATAGATGGTGACATGTGATCAGGATGCTGTAAGAGGATGAGTGTTGTCTTAAGCTACCCTGAAGATTCAGAAAGGTGGAGAGCCTGCTGAGCTGCACTTGAGAAAGTGAGAAGGAAAACATTGGGTTACAAAAAGTACAGAGAGTATTACCACTAGAGCCTAAGTGGACATCAGATGGCAAGGGAGTTAATGAGTGGATGCTGTTTTATGAAGGGCATTCTGAAGTGTTATCCTATAATATTGGACACATCCTTTAAGCAGTGGGCCCAACTGAAGAGTTTGAGCACAAAATTAACCTCGTATTCATCTAATATTCCCTTGGGTGGCAACATAGAGGGTAGAGTTAAAGAGCAGAGAGCAATGGAGGGCATGGACCAGTGAGGAAACTACGCTATGACCCAACATAAAGAAATAGGCTTGAAGTAGGGAAGGAAGAAAAGGGACAGACTGAAATGGTGTCAAAAAATAAACAGGATTAACAGAATTTGCTGGTTCCTGTAGTTGGAGCCTGACAGGCTAAGATGACTGTCGGTACGTGGTGGAATTACTGTGCAATAGCAAAAGTTGAGAGACACGTGAGAAAAAATAATTGATAATTAGAAGAATGACTTGGCTTTGCATTTACTCGTTCATCGGACTTTCCTGAAGTCATGGTTGAGCTTGAAAATACTGCATTTCCTGGACCTCGCAACATTTATCTGCAAAGGACTGTATATTTATATGTTGAACCACAGCATTTATAATTATTCATCTCTTTGAAGATATTCTTTTCATGAATATTTTAATGCTTAACTCTGTAGGCCATTTTGCTTCTGAAATATTTCTAATCTGAGGCTAAATGAAATAATTTTCCTGTGCTATATGACAGGTTCTCTCATTAGTGCAGAGTAAATTATTTCTTAACTGAGTCAGGCCTTTTATTGAGCTCAGTCTTGAATTTGCATTCTGTGGGAGAATTAGATGTGAATTTCCTACAGTAGTTGTCAGTCATTGTGCTAAACCTCTGCATATTAAATATTTCCTAGATTCTCTCCACTCTGTGCATGATTATGAGGAAATTATGTTTTTGATTGACTAGAACAGATAATCTGTCACATAGAGAAGTTCCAAAAGAAATAACTTTTTTCTTCATTTTTTTCAGAATTTTTCATAGAGACATGTATAAATTCTTTATCATTTAAAAGTTGTGCATTATGTATCTATTATAAAATGTACCCAATTCTAACTTAAACCAAAATTTGCTATAGTAATCTATCTTACATTTCTTTTTTCCCTAGTTCAACAGGTAGAGTCAGAATGAATCAATAAAGCAGATATTCCTCTCCTACCTGCCTTAAAAGAGTTGAAATAAGCATAGAAAGCAAAATAAAGTATTAATAAACTATGTAATCAACGTTCAGAATTTGACAGGTGACCATATGCTGCTTCAGCTGATGAACTCATTTGGGTAAAAGGGTCCCCATGAGGCCAATTAGCACCACATCAGAATAGCTGTGTTTTACTGGCACTCTGCTTCATCCTTAGCACTGGCTGCTGGCCCACAAACAGGTGCCAGAGCTCACCTAGCAACCCACAGAGGGGACAGAAACCACTTTCCTACAACCTTAAAGCCATTATTTGTCCAAGGCTTTCTTAGTCCATGTGAAGCTGCAAAATTATATCCTCTTCTCAAATTGTTTTTTTTAATTAAGAAGTTTTAATTAACATAGGAAAATTTTGCTAAAATTCAGAATGCACAAAAAATAGAGGAAATCTACCCTTTATCTCTGTCTCCCAGCAACCCCAGTTTCTCTCCACTGAGTTATGTTAATGCTATCATGTGCATTTTCCGGGGTTAAGGAATGAATAAACAAATGTGAATTCTCTTCTGAAATATAGCTGGTTAAATAGAATTTCCAGAGTCTCTCTAATAATTATTTTTATTAGTATCTTAAAAGTTTAGAGTGATAGCTTTTATGTGTTTTGGAGCGAAGCCATGAAACTACATTAATGTTTTGTGGTATAAA